AAGGGAGGAAACCCGAGTGATTTTTGCCGCATGCAAATTGATGGGAATAAAGAAAAGCGACTGCGCGAAAGGAAAAACAGCTTGTATCGTTTTTGACTCGCGGCGTGTCCCACGGGAAACCCGTACTCTCGTACATACAACATATATCTACGACCGACGCGTGTTATTACACGCCGCGTGATGGGAAAGTCGTTGATCCCGGCAGTAGTTGCGGGACGTGCGTCTTGAAGACGAGCCAGCGCGGCCGGTCGAGATCGATGGCTCGCCTCTCCGACTGGCTAACGATGGACTTCCGACTAATTTGTAAACTAGCGGGATGCTAGCGCCATCGGGGAGTGAGAGGATCCTTTCGCGGTTTTCTCGAATCAGAGCGTGCAGAGAGAAAGAGAGAAGACGCGCCGTTGTTGGTGTGGTGACTGACTTCGCGGCTTCTTATCCCGCGCGCGGATGTTCTTTTCTTCGTCCGGTCTCTATTCGGTATTTTTTCACATGTGCTCCGGATGCGGCGGTTCAAGATCTGCGGTTGCTCATTTCCTTCCCGTTACGCTCTTCTCGCGCTCTTTCGGATCGGATGATTTCGTCGTGACAATTTTTGTGGATCAGTTTCCTAAACCGCGACATTTTCGCCCGCGACTTGAATATACAAGTTTTAACACATTCATTTTTTAAATTGGTTCTTTTTTTGCGCAGTTTTTAATATTGAAAGATTGTCTGTGTGAAAAAACCACATGCATTTTGTATGGAATATGTCGAATTTTAATGATCGATAGGTTCGGTTTCAATTTTTCAGTTAATTTCAGTCATTTGTCCGCATAAATACTTCTCGGATTTTATTGGAAAACACATACCGCGACTCGATGAATGTTCGATTTCTGTACCCTTCAATAAAATACAGAGAGAGAATCTTTCTCTCTCTCTCTCTCTCTCGGCGCTTATGGTAATATCCGGAGCATAATGCTACGAAGTTATTTGAAATTCGGCAAGAGAGGAATCTGAGGCTTGTAGTCCGATATCTATTTATGCGCGATGGAGATAACCGGATATTGAAACATATTGCTTCCACTGTAATAATAATAACGTATCCAATATAATATATCGTCGCGCGTAATCTCGTTCTCAATACTCACAACTTCGCAATAATCGCAATCTCGCAAAACGTGTGTATGTGTGTGTGTGTTACAATTTTGTTCTGTTTTGCTTCGATTTCGCCCGAGGCTCGTGTCGCTCTCAAAATTGCCACCAAAACGCCGAACCAACGACTTGACCCAGATATATTCGCGTCCCGAATGAAATGTTTTCTTACGCGGCGAAATCGCGAAACGAAAAGATCGTGTCGAAAACTCCCCAAAATGTAAACACAAACAAATAGCACAATGACGAAATATTGCTGACGGGAATATCTCGCGCGCAAACAAATGTTCACAATATATTCGAAAAAAATTCGAGTGTTAAAAGTGTGTTTACAAATTGCAACTTTCGATGAAGAAACAAGACTCGAAATTGGGACCAGAGAGATTAAACATAAATGAGGAACGTTAAAAAAAAAAAAAAAAATACTTTCTATCAAAACTTTGCAGCTGATTAACGCGTGCAAATTAATTGCGCACAGATTCTGAAAAGATCGGACGAATAGCCGCGAGATAATTCGTAACGTCGTCGCTCATCCCTCTCGCACGCGAGTCGTAGAGAGTTCGTTTGCGTGTTATCGATTTCGCTAGCGAAATTATAGATCAGCGCTCGGAGTGTTATTTATGCTAATGTATGTAAGGCGTAAGAACCTCCCCCGAAAGTGCAGTACACGTCACGACGGACGGCATCGTTTGGCGGAGAGCGTAATGTATCGTTCACATATATACGGATTAACGTCATTGGCAGCGCGGCGGGCAATTTGTGATGCAAAATTATTAAGTCACAATAGAGTGTGTAAAAGGAGAAAGGTCGGTAGTGGTATTATTAGTTTTACCGCAATCATCCGCGCGTGTAAAGTCCCTACGTGACGGTAGAGAACGGATTGGCGCACAAATGACACAAACCGGTTTCTATCAATTCAAGTGCGCATTAAATAAAAGTGTATGTAATAATAAATAAATATATATATACGCGAACCTGAAGTTTGTTTTTACTTTGTTTTAATCAAGTAAAAAACAAACACAATTTATGCGATTTAAAAATTAAAAAAAGTTTCAAAATGGTTTTACTCGTGAATTATTATCAAATAAAATTGACTTGAGACTTTAAATTGCAGAAATTTTTCTTTTTGTAAATTGTTTTTCGTACGAAAGAGTGCGCGACACTTGCGCTTTTCACTAGAATTAAAAAAAAAAAAAAAAAAAAAAAAAAGTATCGCTTACCTGAAGAAGAGTCTTGTCACGTGACGTGAATTTTGTTTATATAAACCGTGTGTATAAATATGCGTGACAATGTGACCGCAGAACAGTTGCGGAGTCGTAAAACAACAGTAAATTCTTGCATAAGTGGCGTTTGGGAAATAGAAACGCTGGATGCGACTAAAACGACGCAGCGTGTGTGGATCCAATCTGTGTGCGCCGCGCGCTTAAAACTTCTTCCTACCGTGAAATTACCGATGTGTATAGTTGCACACGCCCGTTTTACGTATCAACTCGTATTCTTGCGTAATTCCCGGTCGTATCTCTCGCGCATACGAGAATTGAATTCGCTGCGATTTCGCGGCAATAATTTCTTCCCGAACGCGTGGCGTATCGACGCGAAACGGAAAAAAAAAAAAAATTGATCGGACAAATTATCGTTATCAAACATCGCTCTGTGTGTAACGCGGGGTATCTCATTTATAATCTCTTCTATAATAGCGAAACTTTCCGTATAATTCGATCAACTTCGGTATTTTTGTCACACAGCGGAGAATTCTTGTTGATTTTTCTCTTCAGTCGCAAGATGTGTGCGGTTCCGTTTTACGAGACAGAATTTGCTCCGAAAATACATGTGCATCGTGATCTACATTTTCTTATCTGTCTTCGTGTATTTATCTACGCATTATCTACGTAAACTGTGTTTAAAGAGAGATAATTATCGACTTTGCGACAGCGTTTACGACTCTATCTTGTAAAAATAAATACTATTTTCTCCACGCACACACTATATATATGTATATTGCTGAAGTTTGTGTATTTATCGTCAATTACAGATAGAGTGAACGATATGCAAATACTCGAAAAGGGCTCGTCTTAAACATTATCAAACTCTGATATACGTAACATACGTATGTATGTACATATATGCGTGCGTGCGTGTGTGCGTGTGTGCGTGTGTACATACACACGCTTATTTTTTTCGATTCGATATTATTGCGCGTTCGCGTGCAAACGGTATAAACGACTAAACAGCACGTTCGCTTGTCTCTCGAGTCGCGCGTCGGGCGACGCCTTTCGTCGAGTCATTCATGCTCTCTGTTTACTGTTTTTCTTTTTTTCTCCCTTAACAACGACGACAGAAACAAACCGCTTCCTGCGAACGATAGTGATAAAGAGTGCGTGATAGATAGTGCGGAATCTCTCTCGCGTAATCCGTGTGGATTTACCAATCGTCGCGGATATGGCGACGTTTATCAGGAGAGCGCGGTTTCCCATCCGAAGGAGATATAGTGAGTTTCCTCTTCTTTTTTTTTTCTTTTTTCCCATCGCTTCCGATGATCGATGGAGGTTGATTTCTTTGCCCCCAAAAGGATCCGTTTCTTTGGCCGAATTATCGAGTCCGGTCGTTCACGCTCTCACGTTTGCGCCGATCGCGCCTCGCTGATTATCCGCGTGCGAATAATTAATGACTTTTCGTTGCACGCGTGATCTTCCGTACGCGAGTACACGCGGTTTAAACGTGTATGTATTTACGCTTGTGCGCGAGTGAGACCATCTTGCTCCGAAACCGACGGATCCGGTTGCGTCAAATTACATCTATACGTACAACACGTCGGACTCTTTGAGGCGCCCGCGGCGTTTTAACTTTCAATCTCTCTTTCTCTCTCTCTCTCTCTCTCCCGCGTGTGTAATTCAATGATTACACTTATTTCGGCGATTTAAGAGTTATTATACACACGACTTTGTAGTTGAAAGATGCTTGAAACAATCAGGAGGTTATTTTTCCTCGAAGGCAATTTTAAAACAATTTTTTCGATGTTTCAGAATTTTTTTTTCACATCGCTCTTTTATAATCTTTATTTACTTGTGTGCTCACTTTCCGCTCTTTTGAAAAAAAAACAAAGTCTCTCTCGCTTGAGATTTTACGCGAATCAATTTTTGTGACGACGACCACCAAATCGTTTATTGTCTCTATATATCGAACACCAAATATAATTTCTAACGTAACTTCTATTTAGAAGCATCGTTAAAACGATTTATTGTTCAATATCTTCGAGAGTCGTCTTCCTTATCTCTCTCGGCGATTTTAGAAGCATCAAGACCGTTATGCAAGCAACGTTACTTTTTTTTACGAGGCTATATTTCATCTATGCACAACGTCAAAAACTTCCGGTTTCACGAAAAAAAAAAAAAAAAAAAGAGACATGTTGAAAGCGTACACGTCGCGTATACGTCGCGCGCACAACCACGTACGTAATACGTGATTCTCCCGTCGCTTATTACGTGATTCCGCACAATTGCATAATGAACTCCTCGACGAGCAAACGAATGTCAGATCCGGACCTTGATTTCCGCGGACGATTTATAACAATCTTTTGTTTCGCGATGTTGGTGCCGATTGCGTGCCGCGCGTAAATTTCAAAACTCTTACCTGTCACGTCGTGTTACGGCGCAAGAAAGTCAAAATGCAATTATTTCACACGAGATAATTCTGTCTCGCTTTTTTTTAATCACATTTTAGTCTGTTTCGCTAAGTTACGTTCTGTACGATACGATTTGGCAAGTTAATTCGAATTTTGTAATTTATACAATAATTTATACAATACAAATTCTCAAGTGGCTTCAAGAATTTGATTGCTCACGTAGCAACGTTCTCTTGTTTGTTCGCAGGCAAATCTCCGTTCTTCCCGAGTCTCGAGGAGCAAAGTGGTACCTTGTTGGAAGATCCTAACGCGCCGAGTCAGCTGGACGGCGTCGGTGTCGGTGTGGGCGTAGGTGTCGGCGTCGGGGTCGGCGGTGGCATAACTGCATCCCAAGCGGCGCCGCTCTCGTCACCCAGTCGAAGCAGTCCTCACAGCCAGGGCAGCGAAACTGGCGAGCGCTTCTCCAGGAAAGTCTTCGTTGGAGGTTTGCCACCAGATATCGACGAAGGTAACATCAAGTTTTTAAACAAATTAATATTCTAATATCAAGAAAATTTAATTTATTAAAACATCAATTCAAGATACTGCTCAAACAAGAGATTGGTTGGAACAATATTGATGTGATTTTTTGCGATGCAATCTTTTTTCGACAGATGAGATCACAGCCAGTTTTCGGCGCTTTGGTCCTCTGGTTGTAGACTGGCCACACAAGGCAGAAAGCAAATCCTACTTTCCACCAAAAGGCTACGCGTTTCTGCTTTTCCAGGTACGCGTAATATAATATTTCAAGTTTTTTTTATTATTAGTTTCGTGTTTCAATATTCTCCGTCTATTTGTCAGAGAGTTCTACATATATTTTACAACTGTGTTTGACTATTTATTTTACAGGACGAGGGTTCGGTTCAGCAGTTGATAGACGCGTGTATTCAAGACGAGGACAAGCTTTATCTTTGCGTTAGCTCACCCACAATCAAGGATAAACCTGTGCAAATCCGACCGTGGCGACTTAGCGATGCCGACTTTGTGCTGGACGCATCTATGCCGCTCGATCCGCGAAAGACCGTCTTCGTCGGCGGTGTCCCGCGGCCGCTCAAGGCCGTGGAGCTCGCCATGATCATGGATCGGCTTTACGGCGGTGTTTGTTACGCCGGCATTGACACCGATCCCGAGCTCAAATATCCCAAAGGAGCCGGCCGAGTCGCCTTCAGTAATCAGCAGAGCTACATAGCTGCCATCTCGGCGAGATTCGTGCAGCTGCAGCACGGCGACATTGACAAAAGGGTGAGTACAAAGGGAAATAATAATTCCTCGCTCTCTTCTTCTTAGAAATAAATGAGACTTCTAAATGAAGGGTTTAGAACAAGAATGATAGAAATAAGTCCCGTGATTTGAAAGATGATTTGTTGCTTCAAATATTATTAAATGAAACTTCATAAATTACGAGCTTATCTCTTATTCTTTCTCCGACTATTCTTGTACTCTTATATTGTTTTTTTTTTTTTTTTTTTTTTGAAGAGCGCACATGAGATATTGGTGTGTCTAGAGTACAGACGCGTGCTCTTTATCTCCCGGACGATCTCACGACTACTCACGCGACTTTAATCTCGGAATCTCTTTTTTTTTTTTTTTTTTTTTTTTTTTTGTATAATAGTTTATCTAAATATATAACGGATTTTTTTCACACAGGTCGAGGTAAAACCCTACGTTCTCGACGATCAAATGTGCGACGAATGTCAAGGTCAGCGCTGTGGAGGCAAATTCGCGCCATTTTTCTGCGCTAACGTCACCTGCCTACAGGTATATTCTGGCTTCTGTATCGTAATATATCATATTTATCGTTATTGGATAATAAAAAAAAAAAAAAAAAAAACTATAAATTAAAGTGTTGCTTTAACTTTCGATTGGTTCAAGGCCGCGATCTTGAGATTTACGTGCGAATGTCATGGGACGTTGGAACGAGTAGCTTTTGTTAAAAAGTAGAACACTTTTAAGGGATTTTTTATATTTTTATCAGTTTTTTGTCTTTTTTTTTTATAGCAAAAAATATCTTGTTGGATTAATTGTTTGAATATATTATTTTTTCTTTATTTTTAGTGATGAAAGAGGAAAAAGCAGTTAAGTTTTTTCATAAACTGAATGAAGTGAGATGATTTAACACGTAATACTTTTTATTTTCAGTACTATTGCGAGCATTGCTGGGCAACTATCCACTCCCGGCCAGGTCGGGAGTTCCACAAGCCGCTGGTGAAGGAAGGCGCGGATCGGCCTCGGGCCGTGCCTTTCCGCTGGTGTTAACCCCAGCTGCGTTGTCCCTAATTGTCTCGCAGCCCTAGCTAATTAACTACACCACCTCTACCAATATTTCCCTCCCCCCTAACCCTCCCCTCACATACCCCAAACCACCCCCGTCCACACCATATATTACTTACTTTACTTACCTACCTACAAACAAGAGAACACAGCCTCAAAACCGCTATTATTACTACTACCACTCGATCGTCACGTACTACCACTACTCTACTCTACTACCACTATTATTACTATTATTGCTATTACTGCTACCACAACTACTCTATTCTACTACAAATTACTACTACTACTACTCCACTGCTACTACTTGAAGTTGTACCGGTTATATTGGAGAAAGAAAAACCAAGCCGCTGCTGCCCGCCGAGCCGATGCGGGCTGCCGGCGCGTCGTTCCGACCTTCGACCTCACATCCGTAACGCGACTCGTTGATGTGAATGTCGAACATTCACATATATATATATATATATATATATGTGTGTGTATGTGTTACGACAGCCGTGTCAGTGTCATCGTCGTATCAAGCTTCGCCGATGCACACCGGACTCTGCCGGAACTGAAAACGGGTTTCGCGTTCGCGACGGCAGTGCCGGAAGAGACCGCGGATGAGAGGGGAGAAAGGAAGAGAACGACCGGATCCAACGCCGAGTCCGACATCGTCGAGTCGGGAAACGAGGAACAAGAGACACATACCGAGACACAGAAGGATACAGAAGAGAACGGACACGGTTTCTCAGTATATCGATTACTCGTTACACGTATAATCCTATCTGTCTGCGCTGTAAGATGCACCGGTCCGCGAGATCGAGTATATATATATATATATATATATACATATACATATATATATGTATATATATTTATATATATATATATATATGTGTGTGTACTCGATGTATGTATATCCTAGTTAACCGCGAGTCTCGAGAAGAGCGAGAGCAAGTGAGGGGGAGGGGAGGAGCCGCTCTCGCGCACCGATCCGTCGGCATCAATTGCCGATCCCTCCTCGGGTGTTTACCGAAGTTTCGCCCAAGCAGCGCGATTGCAATTCCGGATTTGCCTCGAGCGCGTCTCGATCCGCCGCACGAATTGCCTCTTCCGAGTTCGGCTGCTGCTGCACGTGCAGCCGAGAGACCACAAAAGTATCCCTCCCCGTATCGTCTGATACCCCCGGTCGAGCGGGAGTGAGTTTGATTCGCGATCCGGGTGAGCGCCGGCGAGCGACTTCTCGGTGAACACGGGGCTCGCGCTTTTTCAATTGACGTTATTCGCTTTTTAGACGAAGCGCGACCGAAAGCGCGTGCTTCGTGAGCAGCGATCTCCGCGCGACGAGTGTTCGTGCGAAACGCGAGTACCTGATTTGCCGCGAGCGTGTGTTGCTAGAATAAACGAGCGAGAGAATGCGAGCAAGTGAGAGAGAGAGAGAGAGAATGAGAGAAAAAAGTAAGAGCGAGAAAAGTAAGCGCGAGGAAGAGTGACAGGAGGAATGAAAGAAGGCAGTGAGAATCGGCAAACAACGCGTAGATCGACGAGCGCTGATAGGAAACCTGGAAGAGAGTGATACGGAGAGGATGGAGACGACACACCGAGAGAGAAAAAGAGAGAGAGAGAGAGAGAGAAAGAGAGGCGAGCCGTTCGTAAATGGATGTTAATCAATAATGAAAAAAAAAGCCACGCTTCAAACCGCTGTGTATTAGGTAATTCTCTTTATCACAACACACGTACACAGAACACACACAGAAAACACACACGGTTTCCTAGCTGTTAAGAACTTATTAAAAAAAAATAATAATAATATGTTACATAGGTGCGTTGTGTAATGCGTTTCTCGTGCGGATAACGCGACCGCGCGCTCGTAGAGAAAAAACACTTAAGAAAATGATTTTTTACTAATTAACTTATTCAAAAAAAAGAGAAAAAACGAGTGAGGGGAAGAAAAATAGTGTAATCGAAGAAGAAACACGAACATAAGAAAACCGAGAAAGAGATAAAGAGAGTTTATAGCAAAAGTGTCACGTAGACGACGGAAGAAAGGGTTGTAAACGGAAACCGTTGAAAAAACCGAAATAGTTCAATTTTTTGACGCGCGTATAATTGCACGCGTGAGCGACGAGCGATACCGTGAAGTGTCCGTGTTTACGGGCGTCAGATTCTTCAGATCTGCCGCGTACCGGATTCTTTTGTCGAGAACTTCCGAAAAGCTGAGAAAGAGAGAGAGAGAGCGATTCCGGCTTTAACGTCGCGTCGCGTCGCGCGTGCGTTCGCTCGTCGAGCGAGAGAAGAGGACTCTCGCCTACTTGTTCTCGAAGAAAAAAGGACGAAGGGGAGAAGGGCCGCGTAGTCGCCGCGCGCAATGAGCGAGAATAGGACAAATTTCTACAACCCTCAACTTTGCTAAACAATCACGTGCAATAAACGATCGTTGCGCGCGCGGCGTCTTCTCTCGCGCGGCGGCGAGAAAACGACCTCGCGCTCGATTTCGTGGAGCGAGAGAACGTGTGAAAAAAACGGAACGCGGGAGGAGTATCGTTTTTTTTTTTTTTTTTTTTTTTTCAATTATTATTATTATTAATTCGAAGCCAAAGTAGGCGAAAAAGGAGAAAAGAGGAAGTGTGATGATGACTCGTAGACGGGGAAAAATCCGAAGGCTACGCGATATATATAACTACATACATATAGAGATCGTACCTAATTAAAAAAGAAAAAAGAAAAAAAAACAACTCTCTTCACATACGTCCGAATAGCTGAATGGAAAATGTGCGCGGCGCGTCTGGAGGGGTCGCGCGTTTCGCGCGGAACACACTATTATATAGATTCGTATTTAATATATAGAAAGAGCCGCATGTTGTCGCTCTTGTGTACATACAAATACACCGAGAATAATCCCTCTCTTTTAACCGATTTTCAAAAAAACCGGGCGTTTATTAATTATATAATCGCGACCGTGCGTTCAATTGTGTGTGCACGTTTTTTCTTAAAATCCCTCTTTAAAAGTAAAAACCAACTTCTTCGCTGGATGTGTATATAATCAAACACAACTTCGCCGTAGTTCAATTTAAAAGGAGAAAGAAAAATTTATCAAAGAGGGAGAGGGGGGGGGCGCAAGGGTGAAGAGCTCACATCTCGACCGAGGCGTGTATTAAAATAAATAACCACATTTTCATTCGCAGATTCGAATTCTCGAAGGGTTTGGTAGAATAGAGAATCTTGTGGGTGCAGCGAAGGATCGAAATATTTATAATTTTTATGCGTGACACGCTTTCCGGCTTTCTTTCGATCGAAATTGTGATAACTCACTCCGATCGATCTCTGATAATCGCAATAAACTCAATTTTCGAATTTTATTCCGAAAGACGAAGCTTTTTCTCGAAAAACCGCTGTGTTTGTTATATAGAGTTTTGAATACGCCGATTTCGAGAATATCTCTTTGATATAATATATATATTATATATATATAACGTAGAAAAAAAAAAAAGAGAAAAGTACTTTTGATAATTCCGATCGGTAACTCTTAACAGTTTGTATATCGGGTCTCTCCCTCAATCTCCGAGCGATCCCTTTTGTTGTGCAAAGAGCGCGGTGCCTCGCGAGAGTTGTGTCTCACAATAACTTCCGACAATAGCCGGGTCGTGTATACCGTCGACGGAGCTCTTCTCGAGACAGAAGGCCAGAGGTCGAGGACTAGGAAGCGTTGTGCTCGGAATTAGTATGCAACGTTGTGTGTTCCGCTTCGTAGATGACAAAAAAAAAAAAAATAATAATAATACAGTCATATTCTGTACGTAGCAACAAGCAGCAGCAGCAGCAGCAGCAGCAGCGGTCAGAAGACGTAGTTTAACCTCGCATAACGAGTCTCTCTCGCGATACTCTTCTTCTGCACACGTATCAGACTTTGTACAATTCATACTGAAAATTATATAGACACAAATACACATATTTACACACACACACACACACACCCACACAAAAACTCGCACACGTACGCGTAGCACGCGGTCATGGTCGCGAGCGAAAACACGTACACGCAAGTCCCACACACAGACACGCATATGACACACAGCACACAGGCGATTATGCGACCAACGGATCACGTTGCGTGCGAATCTAACGAGGAAGGGACAAAAAAAAAAAAAAAAGAAGTAATTTCCACATCTATATATACACATATATATTTATTTTTTTGGTACTCCTTTTTGTATATATATATCTTGTCACGCCGTGTAGAGATTAGACGGCGTTTAATTAGGGCACCGCACGGGGGAACGCGTTATTATATATACAATATAAGTGGGCGATGTGTCGCGGGAATGAAGACACAGAGCAAGAGAAAAAGAGATAAAGGTGGCCGCGTTCAACGACGACCCTCCGTCCCTTCGTCTAAGACACGTTATTCGGCCCGCGAAGACACGAAGACGCGTGCGTTCAACGTGGACGGGAGTCGCGTGTGTAGCGTAAATAAAAAAATAAAAAAAAAAAGAGAAGAAAACTTAATAAAACTCTAATAACATAGCAAAAATGTGCGAGAAGAGGTGACGAGAAAAAAAGAAGAAAGAGCAACACAGAGTTCTCGTCGCAGCCTTTTTTTCTTTGACTCGCGCGCGTCCTCGTCGTTTAAAGAGAGACGAAAGAAAGGCGATATCTTATCGAGCTGAATCTGGGGGAAGAATAGAGCAAAACAAATAATAATAATAATAATAGAACCGAAGATACAAGATAGAAAAAATTTTGAATGAGTCTCGTCGAGTGTGCGTTGTCATGCAAACTGTTTCCTGAAGAGAGAGATAGTTAAAAGAACAAGCACTAGATACAATTGTACACGTACGTTAATAGGACGAATATGTTGGACGAATATGAATTTTTCTATCCGCTATACATTACAATAGACACAATGGATCTTTTCTTACACACGTACACACACACACACACGCACTCGACGGAAGTTTAGAATTATAATTTTGACCTGAAGAAAAACCCTGAAGAATCAGTGCACGAGAACCGTGCGCGCGCGCGGAAAGAGGAAGAGGCGAAGAACGCGACGAGGAAATATGAGCATTAGTTAGTGCAATTTTACATACGAGTCAGAAAGTGTGTTTTCTCGCAAATCGTGCGAGAAGAAGAAAGAAAACACAAGAGAGAGAGAGAGAGAGAGAAAGAGAGAGAAAGAGAAAAAAGAGACAGAAAAAGCGGCACGCGCGGGAAGTAAATGAATTAAGAACGCGGGCATATCGCGTGTTATCGCGGACAAATTTATATATATACACATATGTATATGAGAAGCGCCGGCGATGTCGCGCGCGAGTGCGCGCGAGCCGGCCCAATATATTAGGCAAAAATTTTCTCAACTCAACACACATAAATCCGCGAGCATGGAGTGCGAACGCGTCGTCGAAGACACTCGTGAGCGGCAACACACACACACACACACGTACACTCAAACACTATCACATACACACGTGCACACGCTCCACTAATCGATCGATATAATTGTGTAGCAAAACTTACCTAGGTACCAATTCACCTAAATCAATTGATAACTAAAAATATATATTGATATATACATATTATATATATATAAATATATATTATATATAGAGAGAAGTAGAGCGTCGTGTTCCAAATACTTGAACGAATGAGTACTTGGACGAGAACCGAGACCGATTTTTCTAGACAAATTTTTCTATAATGTTCAAAAAAAACGGATATATATATATATATAATATATAATAAAACGCGCGAAAAAAAGCGAGCGAGAGAGGAAGGAGGACAGAACATGTCGCCCCCGTCACGCAGAACGTCGCTTCGAATTCTGTTTCAAGAGCGCGAACGTAACGAATATACCACTTGCACTACACACACACACACACACACGTAAACATTTCACATCACAGGCAGCACGTAATTCTATAAGATACGCATATGTAATTGCAACCGCGAAGATCTTTCGAGCACACATCTGCCAAGCCACATCACCTCAAAACGCACACAAACACGGAAAATATATCGTGAATAGAGATATATACAATCTTTTTTGTATCACAGAAGTACACACAAAATACACTCGAGAGAAGAAATTTTTACAAGCACGCGAATTGTTTTGTAAATTCACAAACACAATCACAACACACACACACACAAACACGCGCGTTCTCCACGCTGTGAACTACGGTCGTGTCTCTTTGGATATGGATGTCTAGCTAAATGTTCAATCTCACTGTGTGTACTCGGGTCGTTCCGCGGGTTTCAATATCTCCCCCGATTGATATTTCCCCATTTCCTTAACCCTGGCATCGTGTACCTCTTTGTGCGAGTTATTTTTGTGCTAGCGATTTAAGGCGCAACGAAGGGGGAAAGAAGCATTAGACATATTCCGTAAAAAAAATGAAAAAAAAAAAAAAAAAAAAACGTATAAATGTGTCGACACTCGCCTTCGAGATTATCGACGACCGACTAAGACACTCGTTCGGCCACAAAGCGCGTTATCGCAGTCTTGAATTTTATCAAGAAATAAATAACTCGAAGTTTTACATGTCTGTAAAATAGGTAATTTATTTACCTAATTGTATTAGTCCTTGGAAAAACGCAATTGCTATAAATATAAATATACACATCTAATCGATATATAAGCAATCGAGATTTCGCAAATGGCTATGCGCGATTTTCTTAAGGTAAAGTCGGTCCTCGTGAATCTCCATTTCCAAATGAGCGCTAAACAAAACTTTTTGGAAATTGTGAAGGATCTAATGCGAGAGGAAAGCTCGAACTTTTTTGTTGAAATGAATCTTTCACGACGATAACGAAGGTGTCAATCTTGCTAGCTAATTTTGTTTTTTCTAGAGAGCATTACAATTTATTTGAATTGCTCTCTGTTCTTTCTCTGAAAAATTCATAATAATTCAATAAACTCGAGGGATTTTTTCGCATTACATTCTTTCAATTCGTGTCTCTTCACGGCAACCAGATCGAATCGGATCAAAATCCCTGTTTGGCGAGCAGAACTTCCAATTTCACCTGGTATTGAAGTGGCTCTTTTATCGGCAACATATTTCTTTTATACATTGAATTAGAAAAGTAAACAATGGAGAACGAAAAATCGCGAGGTAAAGCGCGTTCGCATTTTTCGAACGGACGCGAAATATCTCGCTGAAAAATCAGAAATCGCACGAACATATCATTCGCGATCCGCTGTTGAACACGAAACGGTGAAACTGGACGGGTGTGTTACTACTGCGAAACCGGGATCAAATCTTTTTGTTTCTCGCGCGCGTTGCGTATTTTCGCAAAACGAAACAACGCCCGCGTCGTTGAGCCGTTGTTGTTCTTTATGGAGGTAATACACGTGCTCTTTTTACGGTGAGAAAATTTATCTTGTTGCGATACCCCGTTTCTTAGACATATAGAGGAGAGAAACGTGTTTTCCTAGTTAGAAAGTTTATTGTGCTTCTTATTCGAGAGTTTGAATAGAAAATTGTTATATTTTATTTACATTTAAAATGTAAAAAGTAGCGAGATAGATTTGATTGCAGATGCTTTTTTTTCAAATCACTTGATTGTCAGACGATTTCAGAGCTTTTTTACGTCTTAAAGATGTTGTAACTGATTGTGAGAATTGCGCGACCGAGTTTTGTAAAGAATTGTGTAGAGAGCGAATAATTTAGAAAACGATTTATAAATAATAAATTTACAAAAGATTGATTTTTTTGCACAAGAAAGAACGAGAGAATTTCGCGTTTTATATTTTCATCATATTTGTTGTAAACTTCAAATGTTTAAATAATTTAATTGATTTATATATATAATTACTTTTCCACATGTCTCTTTGAATTCATGTCGCACAAAAGAGACTATCAAATTTCTGGTCGCCGTGGATGCAAAAACCAAAAAGAATTTTAGCTTTTGAGAGTGCGCGGCGAAGGAAAGGGCGAGTAGAAAAAAAAACGTAATGAAACCGCATAAATCGCGGCTTGATACCATTGCACGCGCATATAATGCACACAACACACACACACACACACACATTCACTCTTACGCACAACACACATATACACACGCATACACACAGATACTATCAAACGCCTCTGCAAGCGTGGCGCGCAATGAATAGAAAAATAAAGCAAACTGCGAAAGAAAATTACTTCCGCAGTACGGGTTAGCATTTGAGCAACAAAAAAAGTAACAACAACAAAATAATAATAATATGTTAGGTGTGATTCTTCACCTCCTTTGTAATATGTGTGATAAAGCATAATATATAATAATATAATGACAATTATATATATATATATATATAGATATATATTATATATAAAAAGTACTAATATATAATTGATAAAAAAATAACGATTAAAATATCTAATATATATATATTGTGACGGACATCTGGGGAAGGAAAAAAAACAGAAACGGGAACTGCAATCGGAACTAGATAAATGGATATTGCGCGACACGACAGTAAAAAGCGTGAGAAGGGAGATGAAGAGCGATCATTACCCGGATACGCGCGTGGCGCACATGATTGCACACGTGGGGGTTGCAAAGAAGGGCGATTAAGGCGGATATCATTTTACTCGTGCTCAAGCAGACCTACTGTCGTTCGGGTAATGCGCGTATAAGTTTAAGGACAAGCGAAAGAGAAAGAGAAAGGGAGAAAACACACATTGATAAAAAAAAAAAAAAAACGTGGGAAGGAACGAGTAAACAATGTAGTCATTTACGATAGATTTGTATTTTTCAGTGTTGAAAAGTTTTTTATACCGCTGTTATATTCTTGTCTAAATATCTTAGTTCAGAAAAGTTGTGTGAGAGAAAAAGAGAGAGTATATGTGCGTGCGTGTGTGTGCGTGCGTGTTTGTGTGTATTGCATGCATATGTGGAACGTTCCTGTGCATCTGCGTACGTCTGCGAGTGCGTTGGTATGTGTGCGTGCGAGCAAGGGGGTGCGTCGCGAAAGATTGTGAGAGAAAATTGATCGTTAGCGAGAGAAGTATAGAGGGAAAAAGAGAGAGCTGGTTTTATCGCCTCATCATCGACACGATGATGCGAGGGGTTTGACGATAGTGCGTATGCGTAAGTTTTCTGTCTGTGAAAACGACGTCCAACGCAAGAGCTTGTGATACCTAATTTGTAAAAAATAAAAGGGAAACAAAAAGAAATAATTACGCGCGATCTTTAAGAAGAAAGATCATGATTTGATGATTTGTACATATTGAAAAAAAAAAAAAAACAATTACAGAAACAATTATATACGATGTTCACGATCCTTTGCGTAGGACAACCTCAAGACGCGATCCTTTCGCGATCTCCGAGGCGGGAATGAGCGACGAAATAATTATCAAGAACTCGCGGGAGAAAGAGAGAAGCGAGAAATGTGCGCGTATATATACACACACGTAGGATCCTATAAATGAATTATTGCTGCGAGAAAAAATCGCGTACACCTCCTGCTCACCCTCTGATGTACCGTTTTCCGAGTACGATTTAATTAATTATTAATTAATTTTTATTTTTTTAAATAAAGTTATTATTCTTATATTTTACGATGCTATATAGATAAATCTTGTGTGTAGTTTTGTAAATAAGCGACACAGTTTTTTTTGCTCTTTGTTCTTTCTTTTTACACACATCCACATGCTACACATATTAACACACACACACACACTCACTCACACGTATATCTACAGCTGAGTCAAATAAATATAAACAATAATTATTTTTTAGTGTGATGGAAATATACTTTTTAAATAAAAGTATTCTATATGAGATATCTGTTATACAAGAATCACTATATAATAGATTATTAAATGCTTCATTTTTATTGTATGTATACGTGTGCGTGTGCATGTGTGATTAGTTCAATATATATATATATATGTATAACAGTAGTCCAATCTCTCACTTTTTGAGAATTTAACGAAAGTGTCGTTCAAAGTAAATTCAACTTATTTTTGAATAATATTACTTATAATAAAATAAATAAATATAATTTTACTAAACCTAAATTTAATTTCTTGAATTCCCGAAAAATTTGTGTGTGAGGTAATGAGACCACTGTTATATTGACAAGTCCTTCGCGTTTATATATAGATATATATATGTATATATATATATATATAATATATAGATATATATATATATATATATAATATATCACACACAATAACATACATACACAACACACAAACATAAACATAATAATCGAGACCGACATCTCATCGTTCTTGGTCGACGTGGGAGGCGACACGTGCGGCCTCCGACACAATGTAAGATGAATTTTGTAAATTTTTAATATAAAACAAAAAACACACGCGCACTTACCGCCCGTCCGCGCTTCCAACATGACTGTGCGAGCGCGAGACCGCGTCGGACCGGTTTAACGAGATTTCGGTTTCGAGCGTAGGTGCCTTTTTTTACCTGTCTCCAACGCCCCCGAGCGTCTTTTCCTGCTTTATGAATTTGCGTCGGCATCGTCAAGGTGGCATCGCCGCGAGGACGACACGATGTTGACGCGCGATTCTCACTATTAGTTTCGAGGTATTATGCAATTACTGATACCACTGCGATCTACTGCGATATGTCATTTTATATATGATTAAGATTTTATTCGTATTTCCTATTATTATTAATATTGCTATTATTATTATCATCATCATCATCATCATCATCCATCATCGCCACTATTTTATTACAATAGAGTCACTAATGTAGAAGTTTTATGTACCAAAGAAGCAGTCGGAATACGAACACACACGACACGCATACACACATACACACACACGCGCGCGCGCGCGCGCGCAGATTCAAAAAGACGAAAGGCTCGAAGACCGATCGAAAAATCGCGACAAGAGACCTTCGCTGGTATCGGAAATACTATTCATCGAAATTCTCCTCTCGCATTCCGTCGCGTAAGTACATCGACCGAATTTTCTCAGAGCGACGAAGATGATTGAGTGCAAAATCTCAAGATTTTTGTCCGACAGCTGGTGAACGATACGATCGGCCGTCACGCGATACGGATCTACTTTGAGAAAAGGAAATTACGCCGGTATCGATAGGATCACACGCTGAGGCAACGCCGTCGCAGAGTTCGTTACAAATAAGCGATGTCCGCGATTCGCAAAGTACGTATCTGTAAAACAAAAAAAAAAAAAAAAAAAAAAAAACGGAATCTAAAACTGTATCAAACTCTTCGCGACTTTCCGAGAGACGACGAAGTCCAGAATCAGGACAACTTTCAGGATACTTTATCACGCGTCTTATCCCTCACGTTGCTCGGCATCTTAATAGCAAATGAAATTTTTTCTTGTTCACTTATTTTTTTTGTTTTTTTACATTAATCGATTTATAGTCCACGTTGAAAGCGAGAAGGCGGAGACCGCCCAATTTGTTCGCGGCTCGGCCACACAATCGCGCGCTTAGTATAATTCGAATTAAACTATATGTAGACATGCATGAAAGATTACAAGAAAGAAAGAAAGAAAGAAAGAAAGAGAGAGAGAGGTAAGCTTAAATGTATATTATTTAACGGCAGATCTTCTTAGAGCGTGATTGGCGCGCGATAAGAATACGCTGATTAGCGAAAAAGCAGCTGGGCGCAGTGCAATGAATTGTGTAAGAAACGGAGACGTGGGGAGAGCGAAGTGCGCCGCGTGCGAGAAGGCGAAGGATACACGTTCGTCCCCTATTTTTTCTTATTTTTTTCATATATATAGGCAAAACACAAACCGAAAGTGGATGTGCCCGGAACGCGTTATAATACGCGCAAAATGAAAAGCGAAATCCCAGAGGTGGGCAAAATGAACGTGCATTCAGAAATGAGAGAGAGAGAGAGAGAGAGAGAGA